CATTCTGCCCCTAGTGGGGGATGTCTCCCAGTTAGGCTACTTGGGGGTCAGGGACTCACTTGAGCAGACAATCTGTCGACTCTCAGATCTCAGCCTCCGTGCTGGGAGAATCACTACTCTCTTAAAAGCTGTCAGACGGGCATTTACATCTGCAAAGGTTTCTGCTGCCTTTTGTTTAGCTATGCCCTGTCCGCAGACATGGAGTCTACAGAGGCAGGCAAGCCTCCTTGAGCTGCAGTGGGCTCCACCCAGTCCGAGCTTCCCAGCAGCTTTGTTTACCTACTTAAGCCTCAGCAATGGCGGGCACCCCTCCCCAAGCCTCACTGCTGCCTTGCAGTTAGATCTCAGACTGCTGTGCTAGCAATGAGGAAGGCCCCATGGGCGTGGGACTCTCTGAGCCAGGCACGGGATATAATCTTCTGGTGTGCCATTTGCTAAGACCCTTGGAAAAGCGCAGTATTAGGGTGGGAGTGACCCAATTTTCCAGGTGTTGTGTGTCACGGTTTCCCTTGGCTAGAAAAGGGAATTCGCTTACCCCTTGTGCTTCCCGGGTGAGGTGATGCCCCGCCCTGCTTCGGCTCTCGCACCTTGGGCTGCACCCACTGTCCTGCCCCCGCTGTCCGACACACCTCGGTGAGATGAACCTGGTACCTCAGTTGGAAATGCAGAAATCACCCGTCTTCTGTGTCGCTCACACTGGGAGCTGGAGGCTGGGGCTGTTCCTAGTCAGCCATCTTCGCGCCTAACCACAGATTTTTAAACTATGTTTAAATGTACACGATGCCATAAACTTTGTTAAGGTTGGCTTCAGTGATTTTGTGTCCAGGTTGCTAGATCCTCCCTGCCCAAAGCTATACAAATATTATCTTAGGTTTTCTTCTAGAAAACTTAATTTACCTTTCACATTCACATCTGTATTCCATTGGGGATAAATTTTTGTGTATGGTATGGAGAGTGAAGTGTCACAGATTTTTGTCCATCGTTAAGTTCAGTTGACAATTTGTTGAAAAGTGATTTATTTCTTTATTGCACTACAGCACAAACTTAGTAATTAACTAGAAAACTAGATCTGTATAGATCTGTTTCCAAACTGTATTCCATTCCACTGATCTATTTGCCTATACAAAGCCTAACTAAATTCCTGATTTACTTTATAATACATCTTGATACCCAGTATGATAATCAAGCTTTGTTCTTCTTTATATAGATCACTGCAACTATTCTTGGCCCTCTGCACTTCCACATGAAGTTCAGAAACACTTGTAACTTTTTACAAAAGAAATGCCTGGATTTTTATTGATGTCCCATGACATCAATAGATCATTTTGGGGAAAACTGGCATCTTTTGCAGTAGTGAACTTTCTGGTCCTTGATGTTATATACTTCTCCATTTATTTAGGTTTTGTATGATTCGTCTCAATGATGTTTTGCAGTTTTCTGGGTGAAAGACTTGGACATTTTTTATTAGAATTATTTCCAGCTCTAGGATGCTTTCTGCTTAATGGCAAACGTATGTGACCAGGTAATTCAGAATCCATAGTCCTCTTCTCTTCTCTACCTAAGACCTTCGAAGATTTCATCCAGTCCCATAGTTTATAAACCATTTCTTTGTTGAAGACATACATGTTTATTTTCTCCACTCTGACTTCTCGCTGAAACTCCAGACTCACATGAATAGCTACCTACATACCCGTCCATCTATATCTAGTTGACAACTTAAACTCAACAGGTGCAAGACAGGATCTCTGATTTTCCCCATCCCATAAACATTGCACCGTTTCTCAGTTCACTGAATGACAACTCCACTTTTCTGGTTTCTTGGGAACAAACTTACAGGGTCGGCACATGCTCGCCTCAGGCACACCTCTTCCAAGCCTGTTTTCTGTCCCTTCAAAATGTATCCAGGACCTGACCAGTGCCTCGCTACCTCCACGTTCAGCTCATCTCAGCACATACGCAACTTTCTCGGATTTACTCAGAACATTGACAGAGTGTAATTTTCCCTCCATGGCTTGTTGTCAACAGAGCTAGCAGGAACAGTTCTTTAAATTGTTGGTGAAGACTCACTAATCATCCTGCATTGGTATATCATCCTTAAAACAGCCTACAAAGCCCTCTATGCATAGGCACCTCTCTTCGCACCATCCAATTCACAACCCCCATTCTTCTCTGCTCTCAGGTCTTCCTTCCCAGTCCCCGTTTCTCTGCTCTGGCTGCACTGGCTCCTGGGTGTTCTCAAATGCTGATGGTAAGCCCCTTATGTGGGGCTTTTGCTTGGCTGAATTCTTACCAGGATAAGACAAACACCCTTAACTCCTTCAAGGCTCCACTCAACTCTCCCTCCACCAAGATGGCTTAACCTAACCACCCTATTTAATACTTCGCCTTCTCGTTCCTCCCCTAAGAATAAGTACTCCCAGTGATTCTTTTTCTGCTCTGCTTTTTTAGTTCTTCAATTGCATTTACCACCTACTAACATTCCATATTCTTCACTCATTTATTATGGATGCTGTAGTTTGCCTGTCCCTTCCCTGTACAACACGAACTGCATGAAGGCAGGACTCAACTTGGCAGATGTACACAAAGTTCCTCGAAGTGCACTCAGTACACTCTTGGTGCTCAGTAAATGTTGAATTATTGAACAAAACCAAAAAGGGAATGTCTTATAGATGCAAAATGATGATCAACTTTATGAGTGATCAGGGAAACTAATTGAAACAAGACACCATTCCACAACCATCAGATTTTCTATATGTACAACTCTTAGTCTGATGGTAATCAGGTATTGCTAAAGATATAATAAAACAAGGGCATTCATACACTACCCTGGACCAAAGCAGTTAGAATCCCAAAGGAGAGCGAGTTAGCAAATCTGTTTTATCATGCCAGCCTAGAAAGATCCTTGGATCAGTACAGTGAAATATCCAGTGCGATACCGTTTGTCAAAATTAGAAAGTAGAAACAAACTACCCTTTAGTCAGGAACTAGGAAAATAAAGCATTTACAGTTTTAAAGTAAATTAACAAAATTCTACATTTTTTTAGCATAACAGTCTCTCCCATAATACTCAGTATAAAAGCAAATTGAGGCCAGGAGCAGTGGCTCACGCCTGTAATCCTAGCACTTTGGGAGGCCGAGGTGGGTGGATCACGAGGTAAGGAGATCGAGACCATACTGGCTAACACGGTGAAACCCCGTCTGTACTAAAAATACAAAATTTAGCTGGGCCTGGTGGCGGGCACCTGTACTCCCAGCTACTCGGGAGACTGAGGCAGGAGAATGGTGTGAACCTGGGAGGCAGAGCTTGCAATGAGTAGAGATCACACCACTGCACTCCAGCCTGGGCAACAGAGCGAGACTCTGTCTCAAAAAACATAAATAAAATAATAAATAAATAAAATAAAAGCAAATTGAAAGTGACACAAGCACACACGTGTCAAGTGATATTTAATATGTAACTACTCTTAGTAGTACTATTTTTTTTAGGGATATGAATACACACACACATGAAACTTTTAAAAATATAAATGGGAATATTACATTACAACTTTAGAGTGTGTGATAAGAGAAAGAACCAATGATTTGGTGGAGTGGAGGCTAAAAATGGTTGCATATATAAGATTTTGTTTTATGAAAAGTTCTGGGCTGGGTGTGGTGGCTCATGCCTGTAATCCCAGCACTTTGGGAGGCCAAGGCGGGTGGATCACCTGAGGTCAGGAGTTCAAGACCAGCCTGGTCCACATGGTGAAACCCCATCTCTAAATACAGATAACAATAATAATAACTGGATGTAACAGCTCACAACTGTAATTCCAGCTACTTGGGAGGCTAAGGCACGAGAATCACTTGAACCCAGGAGGTGGAAGTTGCAGTGAGCCAAGATCATGTCACTACACTCTAGCCTGGGAGAGGGAGCGAGATTCCAGCTCAAAAAAGAAAATTTAAAAGTTCTGAGGCAAATAGGGCAAAATGTTAACACTGGTGGCAGTAGGAAAATAAAGGTCTACTATCTGCTGTACTTTCCTCTATATTTAATGATTTATCTTGACTATTTTAAAAATACACCACACATTCCATGCCTTACACAAGGTGACATAAGTGTTTTCTTTAAATGTGTAATATGTGCAAAACAAAGTAGTTGAGACTCGCGGGTAGCGTTTTTCTTTGCGTCCACTGTGAGTTTACCTCCCTTGCAATCGGTGTGCAATATGCAGGAAATAGAAAACTGTAAATCAGACCCATTCAGGGCCTGCTAATTTTTGCTGGTGTTTTAGCTAAACCTTTTTTGATTCAACGGCCGTAAATAGGACTACATAGATCCTGCTGCCTCTGAACGTGAGTCCCTCCGGCAGAGATTTTTCAGTCACTCTGAAAAATACCTGGAAGTAAATAGAAGTATGGTAAAATTTTATGAATAAGGGAGTTTGTATTACCCATTTTTGCCTTTGTGTTGGTATTTTAAATAATGAGGTTTTGAAATAGAATTTTTAGCAACAAGTACACCACCAGAGCAGACCATTCAGATACAGGTAGAAAATGTCCTTCTGGTGTCAGCTTTTTTCTCTGGTGTGGCTGCTGCCACCTAGCGGGGCATTGCGTGAACAACACTGACTGCGCCAAAGCTGCCTTAGATCTGCTTCAAATACACCTGTCAATGCCAAACTTATACTTGGTCTGTGTGCCGTAGAAAGCTTACATTATAAATATAGATCTGGAAGTCTCTAAAGGAATCCTTTTATCCTAAAACGGATAGCTCAGCATCTAGCTCACCTATCTCTCTGCATCCATGACAGACTGAGGTCCTGTGTGCTTTATCCCAGTCTGCACTCCTGAATTAACTTCGGTGAGCCTCATTTTCCTCCTCCTTCGTTGTCAGACAACACCGAGGCACATTTTGGTGGGGGTTTTGTGAAAGCGAAGTGAACTCGCTTACGTTACAGCTTTGGGGTGAGGACACGTTGGATGCACGGGAAGTAGCGCTACTGTGTTCTGTCTTGCAGCCTCCATTTCATTGTTTTCGACACGGAGATGGCTCATGACATCCTCAAGGTCTGGGACGGGCCGGTGGACAGCGACATCCTGCTGAAGGAGTGGAGTGGCTCTGCCCTTCCCGAGGACATCCACAGCACCTTCAACTCACTCACCCTGCAGTTCGACAGCGACTTCTTCATCAGCAAGTCTGGCTTCTCCATCCAGTTCTCAAGTAGGTGGCACAGCTTGCTTTGTCTTTACCTTGATATCAGAGTCTTGCCATGAACACAGAACGCCCTTCATTTGTATTCTCCAGCGTCTCCTTACGCAGATGCAATGTGTTGAGCCTGATTTGAAGTTAGGAAAACGCAGGTTGCAGAGAAGAGTTCTCTTCCCCCATTGCTGGGTTCATGGCTGAGGCCACAATAACAGAAGCCAGGTTAACAAGAGAAATGCATAACCAAACTTATTTGATGTGCATTTTGCATGACACTGGAACCTTCAGAAACGAAGACCCAAAGAAAGAGAGAAAATTGTGTGTTTTAATGGACAGTCGTGCAGAAGTATGATTAGAGGATGAAAAGATAGGATTTCGTGGTGATAAACTGGGAGGAACTTAACAAGGCTGCTTTTCTCCGCTTCTTCCCTGTGTGTCTATGTCTTCATTCCTGTCCTCTGCATCCTAGGCGTGCCCTTCTGGAATGAAGGTTTCATGACCTGCTTCCGAGGAAGGCCAGATAATTATTCTATGGTCTGCTTCAGGGCAGAAGGGCAAGCGGAGGCTGGAGTGGCTTTGCTGCTTCTGTAGTTTCCTCAAAACTGCATACTTTGGAGTAGTGTGTTCTGAACACTGTCAATATCAAAGGAACAATTTGTTTTAGGGAAATCTGTTCATTATAAGGTCAGGACAGGCAATGGACCTACTTAGTTATATGAAAAAAAAATGTATAACTTTAAAGGTTTCAATTAGTCAGTAAATGTCTAGACTTGGATACAAGACAGATGTGGGTCTCTACATAAATGTAAAGCCTGTCTTCAGGGTTCCCCTAACCCAGCCCCAATTCCAGGTTCTCTGCATGCCTCAGCCTGACTCCTTGTTTATGTAATGAAGTCTCTGTGCAAACAACCTGCTAATCACACATGCTTTGATTCTCTACTCGCAACTTCCCGGTTCAGGACGGTCCTTGAATTTTTTTCCACCTTAGGGATAAAGTTTCAAGAAGCTAATATGACAGAGGAGCCTTTGCTGAATTACTAGTGTGAAACCACATTTGCACACATGGACTATTATCTCCTAATGATAATTCCCATCTTTGCTGTCTAGCCCATTTTTGATGAAAGGTTTCCGAAGAAGGAAGGAATGGAGATATTCTGTGGCAGTTCAGCCTTTTATTGCCCTCTGGATGGCACCGTGGAGAGATGCTATATAATTGGGCGGCACACAAGGTCAGCCGTCATCATAAAACAAGTAGAATTTGCACACAAACACGTTCAGATTCAATTTATCTCTTGGCAGATCACTGGCAAGTCATATTTAGGATTTACATAAGAAAATTGACTTCGGTCAATTTAATGCTTTAAAAGGTTGCTAATAAAATCGAGGTTATAGTCTGCACAATTTTTTACCTCTGGTTTCACTGTGCTCCGAAGCGGTAACTTGCAAACATGTGCCTGTGGAATAGTACTTGTACACGGTAAAATTTTCACTGGTCCTTCACAAAAATATGAAAGTAAGAGTGTTCCAGCTCTCCTGCCTTGGAGGAAAAAAAAAAAAAAGTCCTTTACTCCAAAATTATGTCACTCTTGCTTTTCGTTGATTTTCTTAATCTTGTGAAATGGTGGCAAGAGCAGATGGTAGATTTGTGATTCATTGGCCTTATTTGGCAAAACAGAAAAGTTGAGAAAGTTATGAGATTATGTTCTTTCTCCTCTTCTTTCCATTCTGTATTTTCCAGGCATTTTTTTCAACAGGTTTTATTTTTTTAGAGTAGTTTTGGGCTCGCAGTAAGATGGAGTGGAAGGCACAGAGTTCTCACGTGCTCTCTGTCCACAGCACACAGCCTCCTCCACTGTCAGCATCCCCACAGAGCGGTCCATTTGTTGCAATCAATGAACCTGCCCTGGCCCATCATTATCAGCCGATAGCCACAGTTTTCTCCGGGCTCACTTTTGGTATTCTGCATTCCATGGGTATATTAGTCCATTTTCATATTGCTGTAAAGAACTATCTGAGACTGGGTAATTTATCAAAAAAAGAGGTTTAATTGAGTCACAGCTCAGCAGGCTGTACAGAAGGCACGGCTGGGAAGGCCTCAGAAAACTTACAATCCTGGCGGAAGGGGAGGGGGAAACAGACACATCTTCCATGACTGGAGAAGGGGGAAGAGAGAGTGAAGCGGGAGGTGCTACATGCTTTTAAACAACCAGATCTCGTGAGAACTCTATCACGAGACAGCACTGGGGGATGGTGCTAAACCATTAGAAACCACCCCCATGATCCAGTCACCCCCTCCAGGCGCCACCTCCAACACTGGGGATTACAGTTCAACATGGGTGGGGACACAGATCCAAACCACATCAATAAGTTTGGAAAAATGCATCTGTAGTCATAGCCTCACATAGAGTCATTTCCCTGCCCTAACAATCCCCTGTGTTCTGCCTATTCATCCCTCCCTTCCTCCTAGTTCCTGGCAATCACTCTTTTCACTGTCTCCACAGTTTTGTCTTTTCCAGAAAGTCATAGAGTTAGAATCATGCAGCGTGTGGTCTTTCACGTTGTCTTCTTTCACTTAGTAAGATACTTTCAAGCTCTAGGTCTTTTCATGGCTCTGTGGATCATTTCTTTTTATCACCGAATAATATTCTGTTGACTGGTTATACCACAATTTATTTACCCTTTTTATTTTTTTCCTTGAGATGGAGTCTTGCTTTGTCGCCCAGGCTGGAGTGCAGTGGCAAAATCTTGACTCACTGGAGCCTCTACCTCCTGGGTTCCAGGGATTCTCTTTCCTTATCCTCCCGAGTAACTGGGATTACAAGCATGCACCACCACACCTGGCTAATTTTTATATTTTTAGCAGAGACAGAGTTTCATCATGTTGGCCAGGCTGGTGTCAAACTCCTTACCTCAGGTGCTCCACCTGCCTCAGCCTCCCAAAGTGCTGGGATTACAGGCATGAGCCACCTTGCCCAGCCTGTTTACCCATCTTCTTATTGAAGGACATCTGGGTTGCTTTAAAATTTTGGCAATTATGCCTAAAGCTAACTATAAACAATCTGTGTGCAGGTTTTTGTATGGACATACGTTTTCAGTTCACCTGACTAGATATCTGAGAAGAGGGTTCCTGGATTGTGTGGAAAGAATGTACTTCGTTTTATTCCTGGCCTTTTAAAATCTTCCTGTTTTAACAATGACTGTTGAAACCTGGTCATCACTTCTTTTTTTCTATATGTTCTTCATGATTCTCTCTTCAGAGAACATCTTTCTAACTTGGGTTAAAAAAAAAAAAAAAAAAAAAGACCCTTTATTATAATTATTTGAGGATCATGGACATGTTTCTTCTCATGTAATTAATTAATATATGAATGTTTAGGAAGAAATAAGCATGAAGACACCATAAAAGTTTCTACAGAAGTGATATTTGCTTACTTTTATTTTACTCAGTTTTCCATGTGTACTAATTTGAATCATATGAAATTGTCATTTTTGTGTGCAAAAAATGATTGAATGCTGGCTATTTCACATGGTTTAACGTAACACTTGGATAGGATCCATCCCTCCAGCCCTGTCATTAGTTAATAAATCCCAATTCTGGTATAAATTTTGAGAAATACTCACTTAGGAGCTAGAATATAACTTTGACTCTGAGGCATTTAAATGAAGGAGTTTCTGCAAGATTGTCTTTAGAAGTTTATTGAAAGGAAAAACAAGATATAAAAACTTAGAGTGGTACAACATTTAAAAAGCATAGTCTAGACTATAACTCTGGAAATGTGAGTTTCTGTCTTGACCTCTAATGCTTTGAGACTGACCTTTTGTCTCTGTTATTTTTACTTTATTTATGAAATGAGGATAGAGTATCAATTTCTAAGGACATTTCTGTCTTCCAGAATTCCACCCTAGATGTCATTTATTTTCCCTTTGGCCCCCAAATCTACTATTTTCTCCTCCTTTAACTACTCTGTGGCTCTCAAGGCAAACCTGTATTGGGTTCTTCCAATAAGGAGCTCCAGCAAGGGTGAAGAGCTGGGGTAGGAGGGCATGTCAGGGCACAGAGGCCTCGTATCCCTCTCTTCAGGTACCCCGGAGTCCGCTGTACCCCATGATCCACACGGACTGCTTTGCTCAAGCTGCCGCATTTACCACCTCTTTCCAGATTTCTGTACTAATTCCAAGTAACCTTCCTGATACGGTTTGGTTCTGTGTCCCCACCCAAATCTTACCTTGAATTGTAATGCCCATAATGCCTATGTGTCAAGGGTGGGACCGGGTGGAGGTGGTTGGATCATGAGGGCAGTTGCCCCCTTGCTGTCCTCATGACAATAAGAGAGTCTCATGAGATCCGTTGGTTTTATAAGTGTCTGGCATTTCTCCTGCTTGCGCTTCTCCTTTCTGCCACCCTGTGAGGAAGGCACTTTTCTTCCCTTTCACCTTCCTCCATGACTGTAAGTTTCCTGAGGCCTCCCCAGCTGTGCTGAACTGTGAGTTAATTAAACCTCTTTCCTTTATAAATCACCCAGTCTCAGGGATGTCTTTATTAGCTGCATGAGAGGAGACTAACACAATCCCTTCTTCCTAGAATTTCCAAACCCAACCTTAGGCAAGAAACTCTCAAATTATCCCACTGGGAGTGTGTCATATGTGTCATATGGGATTTTAAATAATACAGTTCTGTAAAGGACCTTGGCAAGCGTATGAAATGGCCATGAGTGTGCTACAATCATGGCTGTAAAATAAGTCATTTTCCTAAGACAAATCGTATCCAGTTCTAGCTCCCATGCATTTGAGTTGACAGGAAGTCGAATACCGCTCTGTTTTTAAAACCTGCTGCCAGTGTTGGATGGCCAGGGAATTGCAGGATGATTCAGTGAGGTGAGTACAGAGAGGGACTTGGTTCTACCTCTGCCCTAGTCGTTATATTCCCTCTTGCTCTCATTTGGGGGCCACTGGTCTGGACAGTCACAGTAATTCGTCTCATGTGGTTCTCTCTAAGGATGTTGGGCTAGAACACG